AAAAAAAAAAAAAAAGAGAAAGCGAGAGCGGGGGCAAGGCCGGGGGAAGATCCCACTGGCGCAAATTAGGAGATTTCGGCCCTTCATCTTTGCTATCTACGGTCAGTATCTCTTAATTCGTGCTAGTGGGACCTAGCCCTGGGGGGGGTGGTTGACAGGTGGGTGTGTCTCTGGCGGAGGGAACAAACCCGGGGCAAGGTCCCACTTGCGCAAATTAGGAGATTTCGGCCGTTGATCTTTCCTATCTACGGTCAGGTTCAGTATCTCTTAATTCGTGCACGTGGGACCTAGCCCCCGGAGGGAGCGGGGACAAGGCCGGGGATTGCTTGAGATGGGGGTGAGTCTCTCGCGGAGGGAACAAACCCGTAGGGAGTCAGGTTCAAATAAAGCTGACGGACAGGGTAAACAGATTTTGCGGGGGTTATAGAGGGGAAGAGGGGGAGAACCTCCAGCAGGTGCTCTCGTTGTTGCGTGGGTTGCTTCTCTTTTCCGTTTTTCCTCTCCGCTTTTTCCTTCCTCCCCTCCTATCGTTTCTTGCTCTGCGCGGGCGCTCGAGCCCTCCTGTTTCTATCTATTGTTTTTTTTTTTTCTTTTTTTTTTCCGGGACGTTCCTATCTATTGTCCAACCTTGGTGCTTTTGTTAATTTTTCTTTTTTCCCCAGTTTTTTGCGAATTTCAAATCTCTCCGGGTGCAAGGGGTGAGGGGAGCGAGAGGGGCTCAATCGGGTTCTTGCATTTTCATCGCCATTGTTGTCAGCTGGTTCTCAACCTGTTGGGTTCAAGTGACACGTCAGCATTCATCAAACTACAGGAAAACGCCATCGAACGGCTTCCCAGACGAAGCAGCGCCAATCTCACGGTCGACACTTTGGATGGAACTAAGCTTTTCTGTGTTTCAGTTATCGATCGACAGACACGTGGCAACGACCGACAGACACGTGGCAACGACCGGGTGACACGTGGTGACAGCGGACTGCTGACACGTGGGAAGACCTGGTCTGCGAGGCATTTCGCCATTCGACGAATTTTCGACGAACTATCAACGACCTGGAGGAGTAATCAAGTAATGCGCTTCGTTACCGCCACTGCAGTCCAATCAGCTTCCTTCTGTGGCATCTCGTTCCCGCGCTTTCAAGACTCGTGTAACTCTGCTGCGACACGTGCCATGTGCAGACGACAACGTGGCATTCTTTGTCATCTTCGCTTTGGCGCATGTCGTTCCCGCGCTTTTTGAGGAGTCGTTCCCGCGCTTTTTGAGGAGTCGTTCCCGCACTTTTTAAGGAGTCGTTCCCGCGCTTTTTAAGGAGTCGTAACTTTAGAGACGACACGTGGCATCTAGCGGAAGAGAAACGACGTCTAAGTCGGGTTCTGCAAGGCCACGTGGCATTGTCGCGGTGCTGACGTGTGGTATCGTGGCGGCTGCCTGCTGAGTCTGTGAAAGACAGACAGCCACGTGGCGAAAAGGTGCTGCTGACACGTGGCCGTCGGTAAATCAAGGATCAACGAAGGAAGGATCGTTGGAGGATCGTTGGTCACTCTCAGCGGAGACTCGAGAGAAGTTTCACTAGCTTTCCCTTTGTGTGAGAGTTCGACGACCTCAAGAGCGTGTTTGACTTTGCCACGTGGCGGCCTCTCGGTGATCATTGGTTGGTCGTGAGTGACCAGTGACGAGCTCTCTCTACACTTGTCGAGGCCTTCCTCCAGCTACTGCTCTTCTTTATCATCACATTGATTAATAGTTTTGATTTAGTAGCTCAAATAATAAAAATAAAAAAAAATCAATACATATACATACAGCATTACAGCACAGAGAGCAGTAGGTACAGGAGAGAAACGGTCATAGGATGGCAGCGATAGGCGCCGCGGCGTCGAGTTGCAGCATGGCGGCTGTGGGTAGGTTGTCATCTTCAACAATCGACCTGTGTCCTGCTCCTTCACGTCGTCTCTTGCATCGGCCGCCAACCTGTTGTTCACCTAGTTTAAAATTTCCCGCCCAAAATTTGCGGACGCCTTCTCGTATATATTCCCTCTCTACCCCGACTGTGCTGACAAGTGGAGGCTCGTGCGCGACTACCGGTAAGGCACCTTCGGCGGCGGCGACCACCTCTTCCTCGGTCGCGGACCTGCAAAATCGGGTCAGCTGCTCGTCGACGCGTGGCAGACCGGGATGGCTAGCCTGCGAAAGGTTGACGTCAACGACAACGAGTATCCCGAGCGCCAGAGCGGGGGGGAAGAAGAGTGCGGCGGCGCTGAGTACGGCGGTCAGGGGGATGACGGAGGGTAGCGGCCTCCATCGCAGCAGCAGAGGGAGGAGGGGTCAGAGGTCAGCAGCAGCAGTAGCAGCAGCAGCCGCAGCAGACAGGCGTGTGTTATTAGTGAGACGAGGCTCGGTGTTGTGGGGAGAGGAGGTGGTGGGTGAAGGGGGGGGGGAGGAGGAGGGGCTCAGGAGGAGGAGAGCGAGTGGTCTCTCTCGCGCCGTCGGCGATGGGTTGCGCCCCTCGAGACCTCTTCTTCCTGCCATCTCTTGTAGTGCCTCTGATGGCCATGACACCTCCGCATCAGGCGATGCGCACCTATCTTCTTCGTCATTATCAGAAGCCGCCGCCGGAAGAGGACGAGGGGCATCAACAGCACCACCTAAGAACGGCGGTGATGGCGACGGCGGGAATGCCGTCTATCCTGCGGTCGCCGTCGCTTGTCTCGGCGCGTTCTTGTTCGGCTATCATCTAGGGGTTGTGAATGGCTCTTTGGAATACATTGCCAAAGATCTTGGGATCCTCAAGGACACGGCCGCGCAGGGGTGGATAGTGAGCTCCTCCTTGGCGGGAGCTGCCATTGGCGCGCTTTCCGGTGGGTCGTTGGCCGATTGGTTGGGTCGTACGCGCGCGTTCCAGGTGGACGTTCTCCCGCTCGTCGTTGGCACTCTGATGAGTGCCAACTCCAACGTGGTCCAGAGCATGATCCTCGGTCGGTTCATTGTCGGGATCGGGATCGGGTTGACCTCGGCGGTCGTTCCGCTGTACATATCGGAAGTCGCCCCGACCGATATTCGCGGGAAACTCGGGACCGTCAATCAACTGTGCATCTGCATTGGCATCCTGGGCGCTCTTGTGGCGGGACTGCCGCTCGCTGGCAATCCGGTTTGGTGGAGGACGATGTTTTCCCTGGCGGCTGTTCCCGCCGTCTTGCTTGGGATCGGGATGCAGTTTTGCCCGGAGAGCCCGCGATGGCTTTATCAGCAGGGGAAGATGAAGCAGACGGAGGAGGCCGTGGGTCGGTTATGGGGTCGATCTCGCGCCGATCTGGCTATGGCAGAGCTAAGGGAGAGTGGCGGCGGCGGCACCTCCTCCTCCTCCTCCTCCTCGTCGGGATCGGGAGAGGAAGAGTCGCGTTGGCTCGAGCTCTTCGGTAAACGGTACTGGAGAGTCATGCTCATCGGGATCGCGATGTTCTTCTTCCAGCAGTTCGCGGGAATCAATGCCGTCGTGTATTACTCTTCCGCGGTGTTCCGTAAGGTCGGGATCGTGTCGGACGTCGCCGCCAGTGCTCTCGTTGGCGCCACGAACGTCGTCGGGACCGCGATTGCCTCCTTCCTCATGGACAAGCAAGGTCGCAAGAAGCTGCTGATTGGTAGTTTCGCCGGGATGGCTCTCTCGATGTTGGTGCTCGCCGTTTCCCTGTCTTGGAAAGGCTTGGCGCGCTTTTCGGGGATTCTTGCCGTTGTGGGGACGATGGCCTACGTGCTGGCGTTCTCGCTGGGAGTGGGACCCGTTCCCGCGCTTTTGCTCCCAGAGATCTTCCCCAACAGGATTCGCGCCAAAGCTGTTGCTCTCTCGCTGGTCACTCATTGGGTCTGCAACTTCGTTGTCGGCCTCACGTTCCTTGGAATAGTCAATAGTATTGGTGTCAGCTCTGTCTATTTAGGTTTCGCCGGCGTTTGCCTATTGGCTATTCTCTTTGTGGACAGATTCGTGGTGGAGACTAAGGGTCGTTCTCTGGAGGAGATAGAGAGAATGCTCGCAGTTTCGGCGCCCTGAAGACTGAGAGACCTTGGTGCCATTCCTAGGGGTCGGGATCCCGGCCGCAGACAAGGGGGGGGTCGTTCTCTAGAGGTTGGAACCGCGGTTTGTGTGAAAAGAACATCTGCATGTAGAGTAATGTGTAGTGGCGCCAGGCCCGAAGGAGCGTTCTCTAGAGGAGGAGGAGGGGGAGGAGGGCGAGGAGATAGAGAGAAGGCTGGGTGTTTTGGCACCATGCAGACCGGGACCTCTCTTAACCGTACCTAAGACAATGCTTCGCGATATCGGCGGCGTGAGGACCGACCCTGTTACCATGCCCAAGGATCGGGATCGGGATCGGGATCGTCGTAAAAGTCGAGGTGGGAACCTCGTTTGTGTGAAAGAAGGGCAATAGTAGACGAAGTGTCGTTGTCTAGAGGAGGAGAGAGAGAGAGAGAGAGAGAGAATGGGTGAGGTTTTTGAAGCCTGAAGGAAGACTCATCCTCTCACCATACCTATGGATAGGGAATGTTCCAGGGAATGTTCAAGGGCCCAGGGAATGTTCCAGGGAATGTTCCAGGGAATCTTCCAGGGAAGGTACTAGGAATAATCGAGGTTTGAACCTGGGTGTGTGACGGAAGTGTCCATAGTGCACACACCACTACTAAAGAGGGTTCTCTCGAAAACTCGGCCTTGATTGTTCTAGATGTTGCTGCCACCAATTAGTCTGCCAATCCAACTGGGATTCCACTGATTGTATCAACCAATTGTAAGTAATAATAACGTTTCTTCTTCCTCATTGTCGTCTGCCCCTTGACGCTTGCAATACAATGGGGTAGGCCACGTGTCAAATTGCCGCTCAGGAATTCGGACTAAAGATCGTCGAGCAATCAGGAAGCAAATGCTCAGCATCCGACCTTAAGCTTGAACCGAGTGCAGGGGCGTGATTGAGACGTGATGGGCAGGGTCGTGATTGAGACGTGATGGGCATCTGCATTGCACATAGTGGGCGCCAGAGGTTTGATGGCGGAACGAAAGTCAACGGTCAACGCAATAACGGGCAAATGCGCTTAAGGCTGAGTGTCGCGCGGCGCTGTGCGGCAGTCAACCTCTCGAAGGTCAATGCTGTGGAGCGCTCTCTGATTATATAGCGCTCTGCTGACCGTCTAAGAGAGGCAGTGGCAGAGCGCGCACAAGAGAGAGAGAGAGAGTTGGTTGGCGTGGGGGGAAGAAAGATTGGTATTGTGTGCGTCTGAAGAATCAAAACCAAGAAGAGTCCTGAATCCCGGAGGGGGTTGGTGGGCAGTGTGGTGAGGGAAGGAAAGCAGCGGTGCCGTGGCAGGGGTGAGAGAGAGAGAGAGAGAGAGAGAGAGAGAGAGAGAGAGAGAGAGAGAGAGAGAGAGAGAGAGAGAGAGAGAGAGAGAGAGGAGTTGGTTGGCGTGAGGGGAAGAAAGATTGGTATTGTGTGCGTCTGAAGAATCAAAACCTAGGTGGGCAGCTTTAGGGCGTGGAACGGGGCGCAGCGAGGTCGGGGCAGGGGGCGAGGGAAGAGGAAAAGTGCGAGAGGGGGAGATAGGTGAGCGAGGGGAATTTGCGGAAGAAGAGGCAAAGACGTCGCGCCGTTGACTGGTCACTTGTCGTCTTCGCTGGTCGGCATAGCCATCGTCTTGCCATGGCTCTTTACTGCCGTCGCCTTCGCTCTTCGCCATAGCCATCGTCTTCCCCCGCCGACCAGCGAAGACGATGGCCATGGCCGTAATGACTTGTCTCCTTAGCGATGGCCGTCGTCGTCGTCGTTGTCCTGTCATGGCATGCACGTGTCATTGACGTGGGCTTATGCTTTATCAGCCTCAGTAGATTAATCGGGTATGTATAGCGAAGGCCAGAGATATCGTAAAAACGGGCGGGGGGGGCTTAGATAACGAATTACTAGTGCGCAGGATAGCCGATAGCCATAGTCAATCCAATGGCTGGTCAATTAGCCAGTCGACTATAGCCGATAGACAATCGACTTTACCCGATAGTCGATTGGTAATCGGCTATAGGCCGTAGTGAATTATTTGGCTGATCAATTAGCCAGTCGGCTATAGATGGGCAAGGGCAAGAGACGAGGGCGATCAGCCATCCTAGCAGACAATGTGTACTCAATTAGGAAAGTCAGGCTGAATTAGGAAGGCAGGCTCAGATATGTCGATGGTCGTATGTTTGAAAATACATGAATAAATAGGGATGCTACCGTTCGATTGCATGCGCGTGGAGACAGCTACATGCATGCCTCTTAGTGCATTTGCGGAGGGCTGGAGAGAGAGAGAGAGAGAGAGAGAGAGAGAGAGAGAGAGAGAGAGAGAGAGAGAGAGAGCCGGTGTACCCTCATAGAATTACTAAAGTATTTGCACATGATGATTTGCGAAAAGCGAGAGAGAGAGAGAGAGAGAGAGAGAGAGAGAGAGAGAGAGAGAGAGAGAGAGAGAGAGAAAGAGAGAGAGAGAGAGAGAGAGAGACACTGTATACGTAGAATTACGAAAGTATTTGTACATGATGACTTGCGAAGGGGCAGAGAGAGAGAGAGAGAGAGAGAGAGAGAGAGAGAGAGAGAGAGAGAGAGGTCACACTGTTTCTACTGGGAAACGAAGAAAGGAACTATATTTCGGACGTGTTTCTACTGTCCCTACTGCGTAGCTGCTTTCTACGCTTGCAGTTTCACGGTGGCCATATTTATGTCCTTGGGTGGGTTTCTCTTTTTTTTTCTTTTCTGTGTTCTAGTTTTCTTTTTTTCTTTTTGAAATAACGGCAGACGCTGCATGTTTTTTTTTTAACTAAGGCAAAAAAAACTCGCCCCGGCAAAAAAAGACTCGCGCGGCCAACTCGAAACGAGGAATTTCGGTTTATAAGTACCCGTTGGGCATTTTCTTTTTTGTGTCTCCTTCCCGCTCTAACACCATGGACAACCCCTGGGGCGAGGTCCCTCTAGCAAAGAGGATTGGATAAATATTCTGAATCTGGACGTGTTTAAAGCAGAGATGCAGAAAAGCAGTTCAATCGCAACATTCTGCACCTTTCCACAAACAAGTCCAGATTCAGGCGTTCAATCCAATCCTCTTTGCTAGTGGGACCTCGCCGACCCCACGGCGGGAAGTACTTCCGTTTGCCTTTTCGAACTTGGCGCGGTTTTCTTTTTTTCCTTTT